ATTAGGTGTCCCTGAATTATATTAGAATCAAAGAGCTCTATACTGACAAGGGTCATACAGCACAGGTGTCCCTGAAGTGGTTGCCTGAGAACCCCTCAATCGATCGGATTCAAATTTTGAATTCTTGTGTATGGTAACAAGGACCAAGTTCACACTCTCCATATTTAATATTTTTCAATTTTATTTTTTTCTCACATCTTCCAGTCCTTTAATAATAATCTCTTGCAAACTGCAGGTTTTTAATATTCAGTGTATTTTGTGTCCAATAAATGGAATGGGGAATTTGCAGGTTCTGTGCACAATGTCAAAAGTTATATTTTTTAATAAAATAATTTAGTGTCATATATATTACAAATGTATCTCACTTAATATGTGAAATGTGAAAAGTTTAGCAAAAAACGGGGACATGGAAAGTGCACTATATTATTATAATCAAAAAGAAGCGCTAAGCCACAAGGGCTATACAGCAAAGTGCACTATAAAAGTTCTAACACTAATGTAGGATTAAAAAATCACATACAGGGTATGTCAATGTATTCAGTTATAATTTTATCTGGGACCTCTGGAAATGCATCCCCTAGAAATATGAAATATTTGTGAACTGTACAGTGATCTTGCAATGCCAGCATATTTGGCAAACTGTGCATACTGTATGCACTACTGAATTATGCTATTTTTTTTAAGGTTCAGAACTAAGCTTCACAGTCTATTACATTTCATTCCATTCATACTATAGTACATGGCTTAGATTAATTTTTTTTGGCTATTGCAACACAAGTTATATTATATTTAAATAGTCTCTGGAATGCATTCCATATCCTTATTATAATAAAAAATAAGCACTAAGCCATATATCCTTAAGAGAATAAAAGTTCTGCATCCAAGAATTTGTCATCCACAATGCTCTCGATGCTGAGGGCACACAGCATAGAATTAAGGCCTATGCTGTTTAAAAAACTATTACACCAGATACCTATTACACCAGATGGCATAAGCCTGTAAATGAGAACGAAGCCCTGTTTGCAGTGAAACCTTTATAATGAAGTAAGATAAACTTCATTACTGGGAATGCCTCAAAAAATGAAGTGTTGCAGTTTCATAGGTTGTATGTTCATTATGAAGCATTCTGGTACAGTAGTCATCACTATTAATGATTACACTACCATCTTTATCACTAGTGTTAATTGCACTCAAAATGAAATGCTAAACCCACAAGGGTTATACAGCAGTGTTGATTATGTCATCGTCCATAGCCAACCTTTCATGACAACAGTGAAGTCGTCCTGCACTGTACCCTTTCATAAACATAAAAGTTGGCATGTCTGTTTTCTGTTTATGTCCACATATTCGCCAGGTTTCTGGATACCTACAGAAAACATTAGCTTTCGGCTGAGGGCTTTACTCAGTGTCAGACATGTAACTCCATCTGGAGTTTATCTGGAGAGAGTTCCGGGGGTCAACGCCCCCGCGGCCCGGTCTGTGACCAGGCCTCCTTAGGTCAGTGTCCCAGGATGCGACCCACACCAGTCGACTAACACCCAGGTACCCATTTTACTGATGGGTAACATAGACAACAGGTGGAAAGAAACACGTCCAATGTTTCTACTCTGGCTGGGAATCGAACCCAGGCCCTCACCGTGTGAAGCGAGAGCGTTAACCACCAGGCCACCAGAGCCCATAGATTGGTGATGGTGAAAGGTCTGCTTATTTTTTTTTTTTAGGTGCCTATAATTACAAAGTATGTTAAGGACAGTCATGTTTGTCTTTCTGTTCAGAATTACTGCATATAACACATCTTCTGATGTCTTCAGTAATGAGGCATTCCATTACTAGATGAATCTCTTTGTGGCTTAATGCCTCACCTCATCACTGAAGATACCACATGTATAACAAGCAGAACAGAAAGCCAAACACAACCACATCTTCAACATACAGGAGGGCCCCACTTATACGGCGGGTTGTGTTCCAGGCTACCGCCGTAAAGCGGAAACCGCCGTAAAGTGGAACACCCTTTTTTTCCACTTACAAATGCATACAAACACTAGATAACAAGTTTACACTAACATATTATGTTAGCAATAGAACCAGGCATCAAAAAACAATAAAAAAGTACAATACACACACAGTGCACTCATTACTTACCTTAAAATATTTATAGTCTTAATCTAGGGTGAGACAAGTAGTATTTATTGTAAGAAATCAAGTGTGGTATGTATGGTGTCAGCCAGGCTACCATACCAGGCCACCCCACCCACACATACTATTCTATGATATTTAAGCATCCCAGAGCGATAAAATGTATATACAGTTCACTCATTACTTACCTTAAAATATTTGTAGTCTTAATGTAGGGTCAGGAGTAAGTAAATGAGATAAAACGAATAAATGAGAGAGAGAAAGAATGAGTGCATGAGAGAGGACAGACGCAGAGTTATGTAAACAAACCAGGCAAAGGTAAGTTTTGTAAACGAAGTGTACACGTCTGGTTTGTGTACAAGTTACATTGTGTACAGGTTGTCTACACTGATACGGTAGAATAAATAAAGAAGAACACTCCCATTCTCATGTAACATCATTTTGAGAAGAAATGATGCTCGGAGTGAAGGCAATGGAAGTAAGTCACTCTGACTTTTTTGGGTTATCCTAGGTTCTCTACACATATGTTATGTATTTATGTTATGTATCGTGTTTATTATATAATTTTGAAAAAAAATATCACGGATGGATTAATGAAAATGTGTATATTAACGTAATATACAACATTTAATGATACACCGAGCTCAGACAGCGTAAACAAACTGAACAGGTTGTGGACGATCACTCGGTCAGGCGAAATAGACGGTATTAATACGTGTCCAGTTTTAGTTCATTCATGTACATTTGTAAGAGTTTGTGAAACTTTTACCTTATAATATTTTTATTATTATTATAATAATTAAATCACGAAACAAATACTCTTACACTGTGTACAAGTTAGTACAGAATTATAGCTATAAAGTGAAGGCATACGAAAGGAATATTTTTCTACAGTTATCCCTAGTAACAGGTGACGGGCTAGAGAAAACGTAATTCTTCCGACACTTCTACAAACCGTTTGGTAAACATCTCGTATATATTTGTATAAATTTTTATACTGTGGGTGCATGTATCATGTTTGTGTGTTACATAATGTGTTTCTTACATAATTTTGAAAAAAATATAGATAGATTAAGGGAAATGTCTACATTAACGTAATATGCGACATTAATGCGCCCAAGAGATTATTATTACTATTATTATTACTATTATTATTATTATTATTATTATTATTATTATTGCATCAAGAGTAGAGAGACTCTTAGTGATTTTAATGTGTACCTACATGCCAGCACAGTGTGTAAAGTTTATTTAGGTACAGGTGTACACAAGTTTAATTATCAAGTACAATACATATAAAATATAAAATAACTTTAAAACACTTGAAATTTTGGAAAGTTTCCAGACATCATAAGGAGATGTGCTCAGGGAGAATGTAAACAAACTCGGTGGGCCGCTGTGACCGTATTAGAAAGACAGGTGGGGGGAGCTGTATAGCGAGTTTTGGTCATAATTTGAAATGTCCGTATTAGCGGAACGCCGTAAAGCGAAACGCCGTAAAGCGGGGCCCTCCTGTACTTCATAATTGTATCAGTGCTGCTGGGTTTACAGAATTCCATGTAGAGGATATTGTAAGGTATACATTGAGGAGACAGGGTGTGACCTTCAGGCTTACCTGCGGGAACACTAATATGCTTACGGGATACAAAATAAGCAATGCTTAAGTCATTCACCAAAATCTACACCTTCGCCAGGTCACCATCTGGAAAAGACCCGGGCTGGGACAAGACCGGTGAACCTACTACAATCTACATTTGAACATCATGGACTATGGAACAACACAAATTATAGTAAGAGGATAAAACCAGATGTAGGATTTAGAGAGCAACCATTCTACTCATCTGGCACTAATGCATGTACTAATGCAAGTGAATGTACTCACTGGAAGGTTCTAATTGCACACACGGTAAATCCTCAATATAATGAACCCTGATATAACGGACTTCTAAAATTATGGGCAAAAATGACTGGATAAATTATGCTTTCAATTCCTTTATTTTAAATTTTTACTAGCTTTCATTCCCACTGTGTTATCATACTGAACAGGGTAACAGCACAGTGCCTGTGTATTGTGTGTAAATCTGTAGTGGAGGGAGGGGATATAGGGGTCATCCTAAGAAAGGATGGAGGGAGGGGGGAAAAAGAGGTTTTTGTATGCTAGGGGCCTAGACATGCAGCAGGCATGTTTGAGTATGTTAGATAGGAGTGATTTTTGGGACCTGACGATCTGTTGGAGTGTGAGCAGGGTAATATTTTGCGAAGGGATTTAGGGAAACCAGTTAGCCGGACTCGAGTTCTGGAGGTGGGAAGTACAGTGCCTACACTTTAAAGGAGGGGTTTGGGAAACTGACTGTTTGGAGTGACATCTAAATTGACATATCTGGGCATCTTTGCAGACAGTGATTGTATGTGAATGATGGTGAAAGTGTTGAATGATGACAAAAGTGTTCCTTTCTTTTTTGGGTCACTGCCTTCATGCAAGATGGCGGATGTGTTAAAAAAAAAAATGGTTACCTCCGGTCATGTAGTTCAGATCAGGATTTACTTCCCACAAGCCAGATACTTAGCCCTATAAGATCATGTTGCTGTGTTTTCGTAAATGTGTTACGGCCAATCATGGGCAGAAAGTTGTATTAAAAGCTTCACTGTAAACAATGCCTTTCTCACCTCTACCTGGTACAGTCTTGGTCCTAAAATTATATTCTGATTTTCAGGCTTGGTCATATGTAAGAGTTTTACAGTCTTAGTCCAAAAATTACTTATGTATTGCAGAGAAAATTTTTATTATGACTAGTATTCAAAGTTCTAGGCACAATTAACAAGCAATGTTGTGAGGTACTCTACTTTTAAGGTTAAAGAAACCATTATCTTTCATACGTATTTATCACAGTGAACTGGAATATGGGTGAATATTAAAATGGTATGAAATACCAACAGGTTGTTAGGTAAGACACACATGCAACAGTTCATCAAGGGTGATGGACTGATTAGATCATCTTCACATCTCTTCTGCTTCTATGCTTCTACCAACTTTTCCATACTCCACTGAAGAAACCTACTGTGTGGGCAAAACGTTTCGAAATATACCTAACAGTTGCATATGTGTCTTACCTGGAACATGGGTAATGCATTATGTAGTACATGTTTAGATAAGATAAAAAAATTTATTTTCAATTATATGTTAGGATCAACAAGATAGTTATGACATAAAAACAAAGACATGATTTTAATGTGCTCAACATATAAACTGTAAAAAAAAAAAAAAAAAAAAAATACTTGTATTACATAATTAACAATTATTGTATAAAGTTCAGTCTCAAGCTCAAAATATACAGCAAAAAATAAATCCCATTTCCAGTAATCCCTTACCTGCCTCAGTACCAGTGTTTAATAATACATTGTACTATGTTAATATAGATACAAGAGTCTTAGGATCATACCATTAGAATTTTAATAGCTACATTCATAAAATTTACTGTACAACTGTGCTGCCTATGATAATGCTCTACTATACATTCCTCTTTTTTACCATTAGTTACTCTTTCTTCTTGATAATAAGAGGTCCAACATTGTCTGCATGAACAGTGTTGTGGGCATTGTGCGATCCATCACAATAAGGAAACTGCAAAAAGAAAGGTTGTGTCAGTAATGTGTAATTCAGAAGAGAGCCCTCCTGTAAAGTAGCATATGGATACTATAGTTAATCCTTATGAAAAACTTAATCAATTTACCAAGATTTTATTATCAAAAAAATAAAAGTTAAATACTTTATTCTTTCTGACTTTACAAGTACAATACCCCAATAATGAAGAAACATAGTAACAGAATACTGTAAATAACCAGTGAAAATATCAAAAATATTCACATAAACAAGGCAAATATGATGCTCCTTGGCCTCATTTATTCACAAATAGTGCTTTTTTATTATTATTAATTTTATTAACACACTGGCTGATTCCCACCAAGGCAGGGTGGCCCGAAAAAGAAAAACTTTCACCATCATTCACTCCATCACTGTCTTGCCAGAAGGATGCTTTACACTACAGTTTTTAAACTGCAACATTAACACCCCTCCTTCAGAGTGCAGGCACTGTACTCCCATCTCCAGGACTCAAGTCCGGCCTGCCGGTTTCCCTGAACCCCTTCATAAATGTTACTTTGCTCACACTCCAACAGCACGTCAAGTATTAAAAACCATTTGTCTCCATTCACTCCTATCAAACACGCTCACACATGCCTGCTGGAAGTCCAAGCCCCTTGCACACAAAACCTCCTTTACCCCCTCCCTCCAACCTTTCCTAGGCCGACCCCTACCCCGCCTTCCTTCCACTACAGACTGATATACTCTTGAAGTCATTCTGTTTCGCTCCATTCTCTCTACATGTCCGAACCACCTCAACAACCCTTCCTCAGCCCTCTGGACAACAGTTTTAGTAATCCTGCACCTCCTCCTAACTTCCAAACTACGAATTCTCTGCATTATATTCACACCACACATTGCCCTCAGACATGACATCTCCACTGCCTCCAGCCTTCTCCTCGCTGCAACATTCATCACCCATGCTTCACACCCATATAAGAGCGTTGGTAAAACTACTCTCATACATTCCCCTCTTTGCCTCCAAGGACAAAGTTCTTTGTCTCCACAGATTCCTAAGTGCACCGCTCACCCTTTTCCCCTCATCAATTCTATGATTCACCTCATCTTTCATAGACCCATCCGCTGACACGTCCACTCCCAAATATCTGAGTACATTCACCTCCTCCATACTCTCTCCCTCCAATCTGATATCCAATCTTTCATCACCTAATCTTTTTGTTATCCTCATAACCTTACTCTTTCCTGTATTCACTTTTAATTTTCTTCTTTTGCATACCCTACCAAATTCATCCACCAACCTCTGCAACTTCTCTTCAAAACCTCCCAAGAGCACAGTGTCATCAGCAAAGAGCAACTGTGACAACTCCCACTTTATGTGTGATTCTTTTAACTCCACGCCTCTTGCCAAGACCCTCGCATTTACTTCTCTTACAACCCCATCTATAAATATATTAAACAACCACGGTGACATCACACATCCCTGTCTAAGGCCTACTTTTACTGGGAAATAATCTCCCTCTTTCCTACATACTCTAACTTGAGCCTCACTATCCTCGTAAAAACTCTACACTGCTTTCAGTAACCTACCTCCTACACCATACACTTGCAACATCTGCCACATTTCCCCCCTATCCACCCTGTCATATGCCTTTTCCAAATCCATAAATGCCACAAAAACCTCTTTAGCCTTATCTAAATACTGTTCACTTACATGTTTCACTGTAAACACCTGGTCCACACACCCCCTACCTTTCCTAAAGCCTCCTTGTTCATCTGCTATCCTATTCTCCGTCTTACTCTTAATTCTTTCAATAATAACTACCATACACTTTACCAGGTATACTCAACAGACTTATCCCCCAATAATTTTTGCACTCTCTTTTGTCCCCTTTGCCTTTATACAAAGGAACTATGCATGCTCTCTGCCAATCCCTAGGTACCTTACCCTCTTCCATACATTTATTAAATAATTTCACCAACCACTCCAAAACTATATCCCCACCTGCTTTTAACATTTCTATCTTTATCCCATTAATCCCGGTTGCCTTACCCCCTTTCATTTTACCTACTGCCTCACGAACTTCCCCCACACTCACAACTGGCTCTTCCTCACTCCTACAAGATGTTATTCCTCCTTGCCCTATACACGAAATCACAGCTTCCCTATCTTAATCAACATTTAACAATTCCTCAAAATATTCCCTCCATCTTCCCAATACCTCTAACTCTCCATTTAATAACTCTCCTCTCCTATTTTTAACTGACAAACCCATTTGTTCTCTAGGCTTCCTTAACTTGTTAATCTCACTCCAAAACTTTTTCTTATTTTCAACAAAATTTGTTGATAACATCTCACCCACTCTCTCATTTGCTCTCTTTTTACATTGCTTCACCACTCTCTTAACCTCTCTTTTTCTCCATATACTCTTCCCTCCTTGCATCACTTCTACTTTGTAAAAGCTTCTCATATGCTAACTTTTTCTCCCTTACTACTCTCTTTACATCGTCATTCAACCAATCGCTCCTCTTCCCTCCCGCACCCACTTTCCTGTAACCACAAACTTCTGCTGAACACTAACACTACATTTTTAAACCTACCCCATACCTCTTCGACCCCATTGCCTATGCTCTCATTAAACCATCTATCCTCCAATACCTGTTTATATCTTACCCTAACTGCCTCCTCTTTTAGTTTATAAACCATCACCTCTCTCTTCCCTGATGCTTCTATTCTCCTTGTCTCCCATCTACCCTTTACTCTCAGTGTAGCTACAACTAAAAAGTGATCTGATATATCTGTGGCCCCTCTATAAACATGTACATCCTGAAGTCTACTCAACAGTCTTTTATCTACCAATACATAATCCAACAAGCTACTCTCATTTCGCCCTACATCATATCTTGTATACTTATTTATCCTCTTTTTCTTAAAACATGTATTACCTATTGACTCAAGAAATCGTAATGACACGATTGCAAACAAACCATACCCCCGGCCGGGATTGAATCCGCGGTCACAGAGTCTCAAAACTCCAGCCCGTCGCGACGGACTGGAGTTTTGAGACTATGACCGCGGGTTCAATCCCGGCTGGGGGTATGGTTTGATGTATTACCTATAACTAAACCCCTTTCTATACAAAGTTCAATCAAAGGGCTCCCATTATCATTTACACCTGGCACCCCAAACTTACCTCCCACACCCTCTAAAAGTTTCTCCTACTTTAGCATTCAGGTCCCCTACCACAATTACTCTCTCACTTGGTTCAAAGGTTCCTAAACATTCACTTAGCATCTTCCAAAATCTCTCTCTCCTCTACATTCCTCTCTTCTCCAGGTGCATACACGCTTATTATGACCCACTTTTCACATCCAACCTTTACTTTAATCCACATAATTCTTGAATTTACACATTCATATTCTCTTTTCTCCTTCCATAACTGATCCTTCAATGTTACTGCTACCCCTTCCTTGGCTCTAACTCTCTCAGATACTCCAGATTTAATCCCATTTATTTCCCCCCACCGAAACTCCCCTACCCCCTTCAGCTTTGTTTCGCTTAGGGCCAGGACATCCAACTTCTTTTCATTCATAACATCAGCAATCATCTGTTTCTTGTCATCCGCACTACATCCATGCACATTCAAGCATCCCAGTTTTATAAAGTTTTTCTTCTTCTCTTTTTTAGTAAATGTCTATAGGAGAAGGGGTTACTAGCCCATCGCTTCCGGCATTTTAATCACTTCATATGACACGCATGGCTTACGGAGGAAAGATTCTTTTCCACTTCCCCATGCTTTTGTTGGCAGAAAATAATGGGAGAAACCCGTATAACTTTTATCTAAGTGCCCTAACATTACTTTTTTTTTTTTTTTTAGCATTTAGCAGGCATTTCTCTAATATTCTTTGACAATCACTTTGAAAGGTCTGTTGCTACAATTACATAATTAAATGACAGTATTATACACAAACTTTGGCACATTTTACACATTTTATATTTTAACTCTTATTCAGAAAATGCAAAATTTAAGAGCTTATTACATTAAAATTATATTTTGGAAAAATCTAAATGAATATGTATGTATGTACTCACCTAGTTGAGGTTGCAGGGATCGAGTCTGAGCTCCTGGCCCCGCCTCTTCACTGGTGTGTGTGTGTATACTCACCTAATTGTGGTTGCAGGGGTCGAGACTCAGCTCCTGGCCCCACGTGTGTGTGCGTGTGTGTGCGTGTGTGTACGTGTGCCTGTTCGTGTGTGTGTACGTGTGTGTACGTGTGTGTATGTGTGTGTGTGTACGTGTGTGTGTACGTGTGTGTGTACGTGTGTACGTGTGTGTACGTGTGTACGTGTGTACGTGTGTGTGTACGTGTGTGTACGTGTGTGTGTACGTGTGTGTACGTGTGTGTGTACGTGTGTGTACGTGTGTGTACGTGTGTGTACGTGTGTACGTGTGTGTACACGTGTGTGTACACGTGTGTGTGTACACGTGTGTGTGTGTACGTGTGTGTGTGTACGTGTGTGTGTGTACGTGTGTGTGTGTACGTGTGTGTGTACGTGTGTGTGTGTACGTGTGTGTGTGTACGTGTGTGTGTATGTGTGTGTGTGTACGTGTGTGTGTGTATGTGTGTGTATGTGTGTGTATGTGTGTGTACATGTGTGTGTACGTGTGTGTGTATGTGTGTGTGTGTGTACGTGTGTGTGTGTACGTGTGTGTGTACATGTGTGTGTACGTGTACGCAAGTGTACGTACTCACCTAATTGTTGTTCCATGGGTCGAGACTCAGCTCCTGGCCCCGCCTCTTCACTGATTGCTACTAGGTCCTCTCTCTCTCTGCTTCCTGAGCTTTATCATACCTATTCTTAAAACTATGCATGGTTCCTGCCTCCACTACTTCACTTGTTAGGCTATTCCACTTCCTGACGACTCTATGACTGAAGAAATACTTCCTAACGTCCCTGTGACTCGTCTGAGTCTTCAGCTTCCAGTTGTGACCCCTTGTTCCTGTGTCCCCTCTCTGGAACA